CTCGCTGGTGCTCGCGAGAGCCATGGAAACCGGTAAATCGGTTTCCAGGCCTGGGGGCTGACGTTGCCGGGAGCTTGACCCTCCGTGCGCCGAATGGGGGCGAGGGCGCGCGAGACGGGGAAGTGGGCAGGGAAGGCCGGACTGGGCCGGAAGCAGACTCGCTCTGGGCAGTGGCCGCTTGGCCGCGGTGCCCGCCCGGGGGGCGCACAGCCACCGCGTGGGCTAGGTTAGAGCCGAGCCAAGTTCTCTAAAGTGGACAGTCCGGACAGAGGATCGAGAAAACAATTCCATTTACAACAGGATTGAGCCGAGTAAAACACTGGGATTTAACCAAGAAGGCGAAGTCTTGGGCATGGTGACTGGAAAGGGCCGCTAAGTAGATGCCTCGTGCTCCTGCTCGCGTGACCTTCCCTTTGAGGGGCCCTAGCCAAACCCCAGTGATTTGACAGTCAGACATACTTTTACACAGGTGTTTTTCATTTTCCCCAGAAAAGTAAAATTTAACTTTTGAGACTGCCACCTGCATTTCCACCGGCATGGAGGAGTCACTTACTCCACATTCTCACCAACACTGCTCAGTTAAAATTTTAGCCGTCGGGGGCACTCGCTGGGGGCGCGAGGGGTTACGGTGCAGCACCGTGAAGCTGGCTTCAGCCACCAGCTTCAGCCACCCAGCACCAGTTCCATCCCTGTCCTGTCACGCCAGAGCTGACCCACACGGTGAGGCAGACCTCTCCTGACCCACCCCCTGACCCGCCCGCTGCTCCCCTCAGCAGTGCACATCATCAGTCAGCCTGTTCTGCTCCCCGCTCTCTAGTGAGTCCTCTCACTGACCCTGCACCTCTGGCCTGTACCCCAGTTCTGTATGCTTAAGTAAGTAAATCTTTAAAAATTAATAAAGTTTAGTTGTTAATATTCAGTGTACAGAGGTATGTCATTGCTCTAAGTTCCTTTGTACTTTACCAACTGGAAAATTAAACCATCCCAAATAAGAAATGAGCAATTAAATAAAATAGTAACTAACTCCGTTAATGTCTTTTAATTTCACGGAAATCTCTTAGAAGCAAATAAGTTGCTATGAAAACTTAAGAGTGCAGCAATTTCTTGTTTCACCTGTTTCTTCTTTTAAAATCAACTAAAATAAATTCAACTAAAGTTACTTTTATTTTCTTAACTTTATTATGTCTGTAAGTCTTATCCATACTGTTTATTTTTAGATTTTTCTAACGTGAATATGTACTTTTATACTAGCAAAATAAACACTAATGTAAAAATAAATTGAATAAATCATTGTAAGAATAGACAGCAGAGGGCAACATAATACTGCTATTTTCATTTTAGAAACTAGCAATAGCTCAAAGCCACAAGGTGAACAAATTAACTACTTTCCCCCACTTTCAAAATAAGAGCTCTTTGTGGCTGCTAAGAGTAACTCACTGGATCTCCAGTCTTGCCTGGTATCTTTGTAAGTTGTTGTTTCTCCCATGGATATGAAAAAATGTTGTTATCATCTATTGTACCCCCAAACCCTTTCTACACTGTGGAGTCCAACACCCTCCCTAGCCAGTCCCCACCAAAACATTTAAATCCAAACAAGTACCATCTTACCTATAAGTTATGCGAAAGATACAGGAGAAATACAGTTCATCTTTATTTCAATATTTATTATTTTCAGAGATTGTTTTGGTTTTTTGTTTTTTCAATTAATGCCACACAAAAACCTAATATCTAGGCTCTTAGAATACAAAAATATAATTTCAAAGTGTATTTTAACAAAAAAAAAATATATATATATATATATACAGTGAAATTAGCATTTGTACGTGATAGAGGCAAACGCTGTTATGTTGTCTTTTACACACTGCCCTGTCTGTCCATTCTGGCATCTCAATACTGTGGTCTGCGATACTACTTTGAAACTCAATTTAATTCAGGCCAAGTTTTATGGTAAAAGATCACTCACTATTATTTAAAGAGAGTCAGTTTATGTTTCTTACAAGAAACGTTTTCATGATACTGGTAGTCCCCAACACACTGCTTCCTTCTGTCTATCCAACTTCTCCCCCACTACTTGTTATATTTTGCCATCTGTACTTCATTTTTGCCTCTTTCAACATAAGAGAATCTGTTAGTGGTGTTACCCTGAAATTTGCTTCATTATGAAGAAAATCAGCTGGATCAACTAACACCATGGATCTGTCTCTAGTCTATTTTTAAGCCAAACAAAGGTCCCTAAGACATTAGGGCAGATCACTAAAACTTTTTCAGATATAAATCCCAATTATGAGATTCTACAATAGCAGAAAAGATATGTATGTGTGTATATTCATGAGCATATATATGTGCGCATGCACACACACATGCAATAATTAGGTCTATAAGGTCTGAGCAGTTTGCAGAGATTTTGGGTTTTGTCTTGACCAAAACTAGTAGCGAAGGCAACGCAAGATACATGTGGAATAGTCACTGCAGGAAAATATCTAGGGCTCATGCAGCATGAAATGGCAAATGAGAATTCCCAAAGATAAGGTAGAAGGCTGGAGGAGACAACCACTAGCTTTGGAGCTGAAGTAAACAGGAGTGTAAGTAACAGCTCATAGTAAGAACCAGAGGAGTTCTCAGCTGGTTCCCAGGACGGAAAAGGAAGAAGTGAAGAAGAGAGATTCAGGCAGTACGTAGACCGGAAAGCATAGCTCTGAGCACTCGCCCTGCAGACACCCACATCCCTAACAGTATGCTTTTGCTGATGCAGCAGAAAACAGTTTCATTCTTGAAAAGAAAAAGTCGTATGAAAAGATATAGTTAATTCAAAGGGAGATATATTCTTTAGGGTTGCTCTCTTCAGAATTTGTTTTTGATATGGGGATTATTCTTTCATAGAAAAAAAAATTAGATAAAATTGTTAAACTTCAATAAATAAGTGAACTGATGAGACATGTTCAGCAAAGTAAACAGGGTGTCTGTGTGTGACCATACCTGAACTAATGAGGCACAAAATATACAACAGGTATTAACTTTTCCTGAACACTATGAGATCTGTAATGCACTCAATGTGTGCAAGGTCTGTATTGAGTTTACAAATGGTGATAAAAATCCCTCAGCCCAAGAAACACAATCAAGCCCACACCTGCTCAGTGGGCTGGCTGGGACCTACCGCACCCAGTGGGTGGGCTTGCCCTGGCCCCTTGTAGAGAGCAAGTGGGTGTCCCAGTACAAATTTCAACTCTGGGACTCTTAATAGCCTCATCAAGGAAGTGGATGAGGCAGAGTGACAGGCAGGACATGACAGCAGCACCTGCTTGGACTCGCACTGTGACCGATGTGGCCCACTGGCATGGCACCATGAGAGAATGAACTAACCTGAGCGTCTAACTCCATGAACAATAACCGTTCTCTTCATTCCCTGTCTCTGAGGAACATAAGTCAACTGTCAGCACATGAATTTGATAAATTCATGCTAGATTTTAGTCTCTAGTCACAAAATTAAAAACAAAAATTCATGAGAAATGAACATAACTAGCAATATAAAACAGGTATTTACCCATGACTGATACAACTTTTTGTGTTTTAATTAATGATAGTCTTTTTAAATGAATGATGATTATGATAATTATGATACAGATGTGTATCAAGAAGGAATCACTGCCTTCAACCCAAAAGCTAATTAAATAAAGGGTCCAACTTGGTGACAATGTTTCAACCGGAACTATCCCTACCAAATACATGTTCTGTATGAATTTATATCACTGTAAGCAGAGTCAGGTTTTTTGCACGATGTTTTGAAAAGTAACTGAAATGCCATCTCTCTCATAGATAAGACAAAGTAAGTCTTATTTAAAAGCTAGATTTTTTTAAACGGCTATTAGAAATCATTCAGACTGTTAAAGGTCTTAAAATGCCTTCTTATTTCTAAAAATAAAATGCAGAAGTCATCAGTTCATATTTAATTAAACGCAACAGAAAGCTCAGCGCAGCACTGTGAGAGGCTCCGTGTGCAGGTGTGCCATGTTCTGCCCTCGGCCGTGCCCACTCATGCGCCCCTCTTCCTCCCATCGAGGCTCTTGGTAAAAATCAGTAACCTCGCCACTGCGAAAAAAGTTCTTATTTGAAATATTTCCATAATATCACTTAACAAACCACAAGACAGCTAGCGATGTAGCTAGATAAAATAAGGTACAAAATTCCATACATTTCTGTATGAAAACCACTATCATTGTTTCTTAGTTGTATTTCTACAACTATATGTATAAAATCACAACTCTGAAAAAAAACAAAACACAACTCTGAAATAATGCCAACATTCAGATAAGACATGTAGAAATCAACTGTATCACATAAACAGATCTCCACGTCTAGGCTGCCCGCAATACCTGCACCTGCCCACCGACTATCCCACCGGGCTGTGGCACAAGGGGCAGAAGTTGTAGTTACTGATTTCCTGAGCCAGGACGCAGTGCTTGCAGACGCTGCACATCCAGAACTGATACTCTGTGATTGGGCTTCCCGTGGCCACGCACGTGGGCAGTTTCCCTTCTCCGCTGGAAAAATAACAGAGAAAACAATGAATTGTACATCAAAACTTCTAATTACTTTAAGCTTCACTGCTTACATGTAAAAAGTGGAGGAGGAAAACATTCCAAGGTTAACTTCAAAAAACACTTCCCTTACCATGAGACAGTATTAAAACACTTGTCAGACTAAATAAACCTGGGTAGAATGCTAAGGTAAATGGCTTAAATTACTACATGACACATTCAGGGCCCCAAGCTTCCGGAGCAGAAGGGCATGCACTAATGACAACCGACCCACCCTTCAAGAAGGCTGTCCAGCTCAGATTTTCTATTATCTTTCGGAGTATGCTTGGTGAAGATTTCCAGAGCGAGGTCTTCATACTGCTGCTTCTGTTCTGAACTGAGGGTCTCTAGAGATTCCAGTTTAATAAAAGCCTTCGAACAAGTCCCGAAAGCCCTGCTGGCGCACGCACAGAGCGCCAGCAGGGAGTAGATCTCAACAGCGGGGATGATGTCTTCATAGTCTCTCAGGTGAAGAGCTGGGAAAGAGGCAATTCGGAATTTGAAAGCCAGTCGTGATGTCACGAACAAGCATGGGAAAGATGACATTAAACTGTTTCAGTTTGCCCGACATGAACTTCAGCAAGATCAAAGAAAACTAAGAGGGGAGACGGGCCCACCGGCGAGAGGAAGTGGACCACACGCTCTCCAGGGTTCTGCAGCGCAGTTAACAGTTGGGGCCCCATAGGAACAGCACCTCCTGGAGGCGGGGCCACGGGTAAATCTACACAGGGACAGCGCTTGCTGTGACATCTTTTGTTCCAGACAAATGAGCTACACATTTCTGTGCACACCAGAAAAAGTCAATTTTACACCATGTTAGTCATAATTCTCAAGATTCTGTCATATTTTTTGTTAAAAAAAAAAAATAAAGTCAGAATTGGCTCTCCCTGGTGGCACAACAGGTTAAAGCACCATGTTATGAAGCTCTCCGAAGCCACTGCAGCAATGAGTTCGAACCCCCGCTGGAGGTGACCCACAGGGCGCGGCAGACCTCTCCTGACCCTCCTGCTGCTCCCCTCAGCAGTGTATTTCAATCCATCTGCCTGTTCTGCTCCCCACTCTGTCTCTGGTGAATCTTCTCATCCCCTCACCTATGGCCTGTACCCCAGTTCTGTAAGCATAAATAAATAAATCTTGAAAAATAAGTCAGAATCAAGTTGGTTTTTCTTTGTGTTTCTTTCAACAGATAACTACTTCTCTGTTTGTCTTCTTAAAGCAACAGTACAGTGAAAATAAGCCTTAAAAATTTCAACAGATAACTACTTCTCTGTTTGTCTTCTTAAAGCAACAGTACACTGAAAATAAGCCTTAAAAATTGTCAGATAAGGCAGCTCTTCCTGCCCGCTTGTGCCTATGCAGGTGTCCTTCCCGCTCCTGTCTCTGTAATAAACTTACTCTTTAAATACAAAAAAAAGTTGTCAGTTCAGACTAACATGTCTTATTTTCAAATTGCCTATACTGGAAATACAACGTCCACCTGTACAAATGATTCTATACTGCAGAAGCGGTATCAGATTTGTAAACAAACTGCATCTATTTCTTAAAAGTCTGCATTGTACAGATGGTCACACACACACAGGCAAGTCACACACAGTGACCCTCAGATAATGCGCCCACCTGTCTTCAACGCAGTGTCCACATATCCCTCATAGAGCTGCCTCTGTGCCAGGATAAAGAAGTGGTACGCCTCCGCCCCCCTCCAGGCGTTGTCTGTGAAACGACTAGTTGTCGACAGAACTTCCTCTTCCAACAAACCAGCCAGGGCGGAAGTAGCCTGCGAGGAAAGCAGACCCACGTTTTCTGCCAGCACAAACACAGAAAGGCCACTACAAGGATGATGACCTCTAAGACTGTTTACATTAAAATGTCAAAATGAGCAGATTTTATCATTACAAACTGGTCACAGACTTGTTTAGAGCTCTCATATCTTCATTATTACTCCTATTTTCTTCAACTGGCACGATGAAATTTTTTTCAGCTCTGTAGAAATATAGTTGGCAAATAAAACTATAAGATATTTAAATACATTTAAAGTACATCCTGGTGATTCAATATACAAATGCATTGTAAGAGGGTTCTTCCAAACTGCAATCAAATTTCAGAGCAAACTGGTCAAAGTTGAATAGGTGATTGATTCATTTACACATTAAAATGTTACACATATTCTAGGTAAGTCTTTAAAGCTGACTAATTACAAGAGATTATCAAGTAAAGCAGACTAGTCTGATAGAGAAGGTAACTGTCAGTATTTCTAGGTAGAAATTTCTAAATTTGAGTGCTAATTCAAAATCATTCTAATTCCCCAAACTTTATTTAAGAAAAAAAAATGCAAACAAGCAGATTAATTGGCCTGTGACAGTCTTTTTGTCTTAAACTCTGCAGATGACTTACGTTATTTAACATTCTGCCTTACCTCAGAACTCTTTCCTTTAACTTTTCCTCTCTGAGCATTTTTCATTTGTTCATGGTACTGCTCTATAAGCAGAGCTGATAGCACATAGAGCTTCTTAACACGTAAAGGCTTAGTTCTTTTCTTTGCCTCATCATCTGCGATCTGTAAACATTGAAAGAATTGAGGTAAGGTATTCCTTAACGTGTATTTGTACAATTGCAAACATTTCTACAATTTAATTTCTCTAAAAACAAAGTCAATAGGATGGAATATAAGCACCACCCACCATGACAAACGTTTTATTAATAAAGCCCGACTTAGTACAAATAAGTACTGAGTTCTCTCCTTAGCAGTCAGTCGATGGAGTTAGAACTCGAAATAATCTCAGAAAGAGCAGATGCTGTTAAATAACTAAGTCAGAACAAAGACATTTTTCATGGAATGGTTATCAAGACATTACAACATGAGTTAATAGCCTTGTTAGCTAAAGGGACTACTACTCAGATAACACAGCTAGAGTAGCAATAAGATCACAAGGATTTTGCTATGCAAATATCTGTTTCCGAAGGAAATGGGAAGAGTGTTCTTTGGTATATAAGAAAGCGTTGTAACTTGACAAACCAAATACTCACCAAGGTTAATACATTACCTTAAACATGAGCTTAGCAGCGTCGTAAAAGTGACTGGCTTTCCGATAGAGTTCTATGGCATCAAGGGTTTTATTTTTTTCCAGTAAGTGAGATGCATACCTCGCTAGCAGGGGTCCAATTTCCTTCATACTATGATTTTTAGCCAATTCAACAGCCTTGTTCCACTGGGGGGAAAATATACCAATCAGTTCACCCAAGCATTTATAATCATGTGGGTCATAAAATTCACATACAAATATAAAGTGCTTTATATTTGTAAGAATAAATATGAAAATAGCATCCTTTTAAAAAGCACTTAAAACCAAGGCAACTATAAAATGTTTTCTAATCTAACATGTACCAAAATGATCTAAGATGTTGATTTGTATAACTTAAAACTTCCAAGTTTCTAATAACATTAACCTTGTAATTCTAGTACTGCACAAATTATGAGCAAAAAAAAAGGTGTATTTCTTTATAGTAACCTAAAACAAATTCAGTTAAGAAAGTCTCCTATCAGCTTTAACATTAAAAGTTATTTTTATAAAGCAAATGGAGATTTATCAAACACTTTGAAGAAAATATTCAAAAGAATATACTGGTAGTCAAAAATTTCTAAAATCCTGCACTTTAAATTCAGGCTCTTAAAAAATATTTAATATACATTTTCTACAGAAGGACGGGAATTTCTACAGAAGGCGGGGAAAGCGATCTGCCAAAATAAATATTGATAAAGGAATTCATTTCCTTCCTCCTGCAATGACCATAAACTGGTCCTTCTTTGGAAACACACCCAACCTAATAAAATGCAGACAATTATGAAATTACTTCCAGACAAATATTTGCCAGACCAGAGCAAGGCTCTGTCTATGTTCCCAAACTGAGGAAGCTGTGAGTGGGCCACCCCTCTAGTGACACTTTCAGGTGAGCGGGTCACCTCCTGTAGAGACACTTTCAGCAATGGCAAGTCCAACTGCTTCTCTTGATCCTTGACTAATCAGGGAAATTCTGGGCTCCTTTCCCAAAATTCACCTCCAGCTCGCCAGCCCTCACACTGGCCACTTCTGCAGAGGACGGTCTGAGGGCTACGAGACTCCAACTTCGAGGTCCTTACCTGGTTGAGATGCACGCAGGTATCGACCGCTGCCTTTGGTTGGCTACATTTCAAAAATGCAGCTACGGCTTGTTCACACATTCCAACTCTCACAAACATTTGTGCTATTTCCTGTAAGAACAGAATGATGCCATCAGATTTCACAGACCAAGAAAACACTTCTACTTTAATTTAACACTTCTACACAACTCCTGGGGGACATGGGAATATTAAATGTCGTTACCGTCATTTTTCCTTTGAACAGACACAGGGCAGGGCAGAAAGGATGCTAAGCCTCCTAGAAGGCTTCTGTGAAACCAGGCCTCCCTGCAGACCTGCTTACTAACTGAGTTCCAAAGATCCTGAATTCCTGTCTTTTCTCTGTTCAGCAGCTGTTTAGAGAAATGTCAACCCCCCAAATAAACCAACCCCACACTACTGGGTAAAAGAGACCTCTAAAAGAGACCTCGCTTAAGGGCGAACTCACATCCAGGGGCCCTCAAACACCTTGAAAAAGACAAGTCGGCCACCATCAGCTCAAGAAGCTAGACCCAGAGTTCCTTGGAGGGCAGGTAAAAATGCTAACTCACTGGTATTGTACTGCTCAGTGATTTACACTTTAGATAAAACAACGAAAGACCAACACACTAATACCATTCAATAATTAATAGAAAGAGGCTTTCAAAGAACATACAAAACAAAATTCCAGAGAGCTCTGCTTTTTGGACCTTTTATTTTATTGTCAATATAGTAAAAGTCAAGCTGCCTTTTTATATTTCACACATACTTATCCTGGTACCCAACCTGGATTACTTTGAAGCAAGTCTCTGACGATCTATCATTTCATCTGTAAATACGTCACACATTCAGGTAACTCTGTAACACTGCCAATTTTATGCTTCTGATGAGACTACAAAAGACTGCGATCACAGGACTAGTGTGACCTCCATTAATCATTCTGTAATACTGGCATAATGTTTTCACAATTAAAAGTATCGCTGCAAATCCAAGAGAGTAAGATTATGGCTTAGTTTTAAATTTTCTTTGCTGCAGATATCTCCTACCAGTAACATAATCTTTATAAGTGAATCTAAAAACCTCAAAGACTACAGCTTGTAATACCTACTGGAAGCAGCTTGTGGTTTTCTGGGAGAGAATTGGCAAGACTCTCCAGTCCCTCGTAATCCTCTAACATGTAATAGCATTCGGCTAAGCGTTCCTGGTTCCGGCCTTGTACATAATATTGTACAGCATTCAACCTATGGAGTGAAGAAGAAAGAAAAACATTTAAAACTAATGTGAGTTACCTGACAAATAAGCACTTTCACCGAAAATGTTCCGTCACTACAATTGTTTACATTACTGTAGTCCTTATCTTCTGTTTTAGAATGTCTTTGAAGCATACAAATTAGAAAAGAAAAATCTAAAAACTGTGAAGCATATATTAGTAACAGCATACTTTGAACATTCCTTAAAATGTTGTTTTAAGTGGTAATATAACTGTACTTCCAAACACTGACATAAATATGCATATTGATTGAAATGAAAACCTAAGAATGAAAATCAGTGATTTCTGAAAATAATCTATAATAACAAAACAAAACAAGCAAATACAAGATTTTTCAGAAATAAATCGTACACCGCCAAGATTTGCACTCTACATTCTCAAACACTGGAAACCTGCCAGAGCTAAGCACAGGTCTCGTGAGTTTGGAAAGTCCAAAGTTTCACAGCACTCGCACGACACAGGTAAGGCTCTTTTGGCTCCCCAATGTGACTCTATTTGAAATATAGGATTCAGGAGAATGGTCTTCATTTCCCTGGCATTATTTCCCAGGGGGGACTCAGGATGTCAACATTTTAAATGCTACACGAGTACACAAGAAGCTCTAGACAGGCTCCTTACCACTTCTGTCGATCAGCAAAGTAGTCCCCGACGGCATTGTGGGCCTGTTCCAGCAGGCTGTCGTCGGCATCACCAGACCCAGTTTTCAGGAGTTGAAGAACTCTAAACCAGTCTCCCAATTTCAGCCGGAGCCCAATAGCAAGATCTCTGTAAACAGCGACATTCATTCACTTAGCAAATATTTACCCAGGGCCTACTATGTGCTAGATTCAAATCCAGGGTGGTGCCAGGAATATACAGAGATGAGTAGACAGATAAGGTAATACTCCAAACATTTTGAAAGTTAGCCTAACCAGGCAAGAGGAAGTAGAGAAGTCCTAGAATGGGGGAAAAGAACTAACTTCCTACCTTTTATTTTCCAGAACTTCCAAGTTAGCTAGCAAAATAATGGCCTAAATAATCATTCCTTTTTATCATATATTATCTTATATAAATCAAAAACTATATACACAAAGTAAATATAATCTCTACTCATTATTTCCCGCTCCTTAACAAGAGAAAATTAAATAATGGCCTAAACCAAAAAGAAGAACCCAAATAATGAGCTATGTAACCAGTGATAAAAGCCCCCAGTCTCTGTAATCATATGCTGTTTCCCCCTACCAAATTAAAAAAAAAAAAAATCTCCTATGGAGACCCATTAGTATGCATAACAACAGAGAAGAAAAGACCCCCAAATTACAAGAAATTAATGAGGAACATGTGGAATATCTAGGTTGCAACCAAACTGAAATTAATTTCCAAAGAAATGATATGATACATTTAGTCTATGTTCCCACTGGTTCTTTGTAAACATTCTAGAATGTTCTGAAGTGCCTATACCTTCATTACTGACCTTCTGTCCATATCAAGATACATCCTTTCAGCCTCCTCAAACCTGCCAAAGTAGGCAACCACTTCAGCCTGCTTCATGGACTCGGTCTGCAGGTTGCCCAGGCGCTTCACGAACTTAATGCCTTGGTAGTCTTTGCCACGGACAAACGCCTGCTCTGCAGTGTGCAGATCCAGTTTCTGGAGAGCAGCTTCAGCCAGCAGGCGCCTTCATTCAAAAGAGAAACCGAAAGCCTATTGCAAATTACTGATGACAAATCTTCCATCAAAATTCATCTTCATTCCAAACTGGAGGGAAACAACTATTTCAACACACTTAGACATTCCTCATATAATAAGAATGCCTATGTTGAGTACTCTGAAATCTAAAATGAATTTCTATATTTTATAAAGAAGCATGGGAACAGAAATGTTTCCCAGGAGGCTAGCACCGAGGAGCGGAGAGAGCGGAAACATCTGAAGTTTTGGGAATTAAGTACCAAAGTCGGGGGTGTGGATTGTCCTCTATAAATCGAGAGGCATCTTCAATTCCAACCTGCTCAATCAAAGCTCGGCTATCTCGCAGGGACCGAATCTCAAAGTTAATTATATAATCCTTGTTTGGATGTTCTGGATTCTAAAAGTAAAGATGAAAACAAAGGAATTTCGTAAATAGTTGCCTTGAAGAGTTAACGTCTATTTTTTGCCATTAAAAACACATCATATTGTGAGTAAAACTGGGGGAAAACATGGCAGATCTACCAAAAAAAAAAAAAGTGAAGGCCAGTGTTACAAGAAGAGCTGGTTTTAATGGTCAAAGAAAGCTAAACAGCTTCGGTTCATTGTCTCCCAACAAATGGAAAAGTGAAGCACACACGCTCACCTGTGCAACAGCAATGGCTCCTGGAGACCAGAGTCCTCTGAAAAAGGTGAACTGAGCGGCAAGCGCCTCCTCCTCACTGTGATCTAAGCACTGTTTCTAGACACGAAGAGTCCTGGGGACGCCTACGCACTCCACGAGCATGAGGTCTGGATTCAAACAGACCTACACTCAAATCCTACCTTCACCACGAGCTGCAACAGGACAAGTCTTTCAAGAACCTGCGCTCGCACCGCCCTGCCCCAAGGAAGCCAGGCTGTCGTCCTGCCCACACACAAGCCCAGTCCTGTGTCCACTGCTGACGCCACCCTCTACTCCCCGCTGACTGCAGGATGCTGCCCACACTCCACAGCATACAGTTCCTACTGCCTGGGTCCTCTCCCCTGCCGGGCTCCCCCAGCCTCAGGTCTGCCAGCACTGCCAACGGCACACACACAGCTTTGAAGCCAGGAGCTGGGCGTCCAATCGTCCCTTTGCTAGTGCTGACTCGGCTCTCCAAGACTTAGGTTGTTCATCTGAACGAGTGGAGATAACGACCAAACTTACCTCCTGGAGTTGCGATGCTTACATGGATGACACCTCACAAACACCCAGCACTGTGCTGGGCTCTCAGCCTCAGCCCTGGGCCCCTGGCAGGTACGGAGCTCAGAGGAGAGGCACCTATGCCCAGGCCGCAGCTCTGCCACCTTCCCCCCCTTTCCTTTCTGCACCTTATGGTGTCGCCACTCTCCAGATCCATCCTGCTGCTATTATGTGGTCACGACACAGAGAAAAAGGTTCCGAGTGAACAGGTTTAATGTCATCAAGCCCAAGCAGAGAAGCCTACTACAACAGTAACTAACCTTCAAATTTACAATCTAGCCCCACTCAAATAAGCTCCGCAGGACACAGACGCAGTTACTGTTTGTAGATAAAATGAAAATTATACTGCTCCCAATATTTCTAGAGTAAAGAATTCTCAAGTGATGGTCACTGAAGGCCAAAGCAGAGGATCAAAAACATGGCATCAGAAATGAGGTACTTTATAAAACCTGGGGGGAAATGGAGAGTGGACCATCAAGAAGGAACTCAGATGTCCTGAAAGTAAAAAAGACTAAATTGCCAGGTGTTCTCAGCACCTGTCGTGACTGACATAACGTGAGCAAGGCCAACCGGCCACCAGGGTGTGTGCTCGCGGGCCAGCGCTGAGTGCTCTGCAAACGTTATCAAATAAAAGTCCTGTAAGACAGGTACAGTTATTATCCACATTCAGAGGAGGTAAAAATTGCGGCTCATAAACGGACAGGAAAGTGAAGCTCCCAGGGTACAGGAAGCACCTGAGTGTCACACGAGTGACAGAGGGCCGGAACACAGGCAGCCACCACCTCACTCCACATGCCCACCCGGACCCAGCACCCAGCGACAGAAACACTCTGCGCTTCAGGAATTACCTTTAAGATCTCATCCAAAAGAACAGACTTGATTTCTAAATCCTCAAAGTTACATATATATCCGGAAGTCTGAATGGGTTCCTTTAAAGACAAAAACTAGTATTATAATGAATTGTACAAAAATTTCCTTCCTTTATTATACCATAACTTTTAATTTTATTATAAAACTTTTAGGTAACTTACACATATCATCTCACTCGCAAATATTTCAGTACGAAACTCTAAAGCCAAGGAAGTTCTCTAACATGGCCACATCACTATATAACTGGCATTAATTTCCAAACAGCATTCAGTCCAGATTTTCACAATGAACCTCAAAAAAACTTATCTAGCTTGATAATCCTATTCATGTGATTTGACATTAAGCTTAATTCCTAATAAAACTGATAAACAGGATATCTGGATCTAAGTAAATATTAATCAAAGAAGTCCCATTCCAGACTGAGAAGTCCAACTTCTGCAACATCAGGCAGAGTATCCTGTTAGGTTTCTGATAAGCTGTTTTGGAGCGTCCTTGGTGATAGGTGAAAAAGCAGCCAGAGCAATGAAGAACAGACTGTCTAACCCAGCAGGGACCACAGGCGGCCAGAGCCCTCATGAATGCAAAGAACATACAGGACACTATTCATGAAGAACTCCAGTCAGGGCTAAGGTGGTCAGAAATCCACCCAGTTCTAATCCTAATAGAAGCTGAATTACTTGCCAAGTCAGAAAACAAACTCAAGAAAAAGACTGGTGTTCAACTGCTTAAGAAACACTTCCCACCAGGCCAAGATTTTACTGATACTCGATCGGCCACTTGCTACACACTCAGTGAATGCCAGGCACAACAAACACACCCTCTTCTCCATGTGAGTTTTCTGACTTAGTACAAGTAGGACTGAGTGTGGTAAAGACCCTACAATCAGAAAGCACTGCCTACCTACCCTCAAGGTTACCATGTCATTACCTAGCAACATTCCCCATTGGTTTTAACAAAAGGAAACACAACCCACCGCCCTCTCCCCCCACCCCACTCCCACCCCCATATGCCTTTGAACCCTGCTTAGGGTCTAAGAATTGCAAAGGTTCTTAGACTCCTAAAGATTTTAACATAGATTCAGAGCAATTTGCATCAGGTCACTAGCAAAGATCCTGAGCAGGACCCAGAAGGGAAAATAACTTAGGCTATTAAAGGGGCGAATAGTTTATCACTAAGTAAATCATACAGAAGATCTCCAGCCGCTCACAGGCCCAAGCATGATGTGATTTCTTCCAAAGAAGGAAGCTGTAAGTCCAAACAATCGCTGCCTCATGAACTACAGCACTAATTTACTCATTTCTTATTGACACAAGTGGAGTGTGTTGGGAGGGTACAGAAAATCCAAACTGAAAATTCATTAACAACTCAAAAATGTTTAAAAGATGGACCTCTGCCTTAGCGATGTGTTCATTAGGCTTCCACTCAAAATACTAACAGCGAACAGCCAATCCAGACAAAAGTCACAGCAAAATTCAGAACCTAAAAGTCAGCCCAAGCAGAAAATGAAAATAGGACAAACTCAGTGAGAAAGGAGCTTGCTGGTACGCCAGGGAGCACTTCACCACAATCCACAGCCCACTGTGTGTTCCTAAGGCTGCCGAAGCGGGTAAGATCGGGTGGTGGGTGCTTAGAATGTAAATGTAGCTGAGATAAGCACAGAATGAGGAGACCTAGAAAGGAGCAAGAAAATGAACGGACGGGCAATTTCAAAATTGTATGTGTTTAGTTAAGGTTGTTTGCAACAATTTTGGTAAATAAGAGCACTGATTTTTTTTTTTTTTTTTTGGTAACTTTGACAAGGAAGAAAATAAAGATTATATAGTGAGCGGCCATGGTTCCAGCTCCTAAAAAGAACAGATAAGTACTTAGGAAGTGCCTCAGAGAACATACAAAATATTTTTAAATGAATATTATTTCTATTTAAACCAACTATTTTTAAATCCCAAAGAAAAGTTTCAATTTTTTTCCTGAAATTCATGCATCTGACAACAATCTTCTTAATGAAACAAAGAAGTCTGTGATATCTGGCTCTTTTTAAAATGTGGTTAATGCTCATTCCTTGTTTTTACCTCTGGATCCAGGTTTCTGAAAACATACATTCTTGTCTTTTCCATCATTGCAAATAAATCAGGGTTATCTCTGGCCCACTTCATGTCCCAGACATCCTTCCGCTCCAGCTTTAGCAACTCCCCGGTGACTTGCTGGCCTGTGCTGTCTGTGACCCGAGCATCCAAGTCAAAAAAAATGAGAACTCCTGAGGTGTCTATGATAGCAAGACGACTACAAACAACGAAATCGGAGAAGGGGGAAAGTCGTAAAATTACTAAGAGCAATCATAAATAATAATTACCTACAGCCATTCTTCTTCAAAAGCAGCTCACCAGAATGTGGGAATAAGGTAGAAATGGCTTGAAATAAATAAATCACTTGAAACAAATTTTAGAAAATTTGATAAAAGACACAGAATGCTCTGCATTTGTGAGGAAAAAGTACCCAAAGGGATTCAAGCAACTGGCAGACAAATAAGAGTATTACATTAGCAGTCCACATTTTGCCCGATTAGAGAAAGACACTGAAGCCAAATACAGCATAGTAAAGACAAATCAGTGGCATGGAATCATACTGAACCGTAAGACAAGTTTAAAATACCCACGTCGTCACATTTATTACATATTGTAGCCCCAACAGTCCCAACTGATAACTCCTAAGTTAACACGAGAAGAGTTTCAGACTTACCTAGAGCTGCAATTCAAGGATAACTGGGAGGGACGATAATTAAGAAAGTATTTTTGAATCAAACCAACATTAGGAAGACTGTATCTCTGAATGGTGCCAGATTCACGCCCCTGGAAGAAGTACTTGGGGTTACAGAGGAGTATTTACCATAACACTATTAAATTACTACTTCTGGTCTCTATATGTCGTGCATTTATTTCAAATCAAAGTGATGCTGTCACAGTGAATTTGCAATTCTTATACTGAATTATGTCACTGAGTACATATTTACCTCTTCAATGAAAACCTGTTAAAGTCAGCTGAAGATGAGGTAAATTTTTCATGCAAAGTCCAAAGAAACGGAAGCCTACTTCTTTAAAAATACATACATTCAAAGAAGTAATATCTAGGATTACTTACAATTTTTTATATTAATATTCACCATACATTAAAGAACAAAATACAGAGTACTTATTGAATTAAATTTCTCATGTGTGAAAAATCAATATAATCAGCACAAGAGACTGTAGTTGCTGAAAGTCTGTTTTTATTCTCTAGTTAATGACCTGATACTAGCTTTTGGTAAAAGGAGAAAATAATCAGAAAACAGTGATACAATGAGTATTAGTTTTTTAAAATCAAACAGAATTTACGTTTCTGTGCAACTCTGCACAGGCCTTAAGGCTGACAGACCAACAGTTAGTACCACAATCTGGAAGGCCCAGGTTCTCACGCCGTCCAGCCTCTGCATCCTACGTCTTATGAAAGAAACTTCGAAAGCACCTTCTCCAAACACGCAGCAAGCCACAGGAGGAAGAAACTTTCTAAGACCGGACACCATCCAGTTCACCCCACATCTGCCAACAGCATGAAATTCTTCTGCTCTTACAGAGAGCCCTTTTTACAAACGATTACTGATTTGTGAGGTGATCTTTAAAATTTTCCTATTTATTATGTCAGACTTAATAAAACTTGAGGTGCCCACAAGATGGTTGATATTCAAAACCTACCGCACTGCCCTTTTTTATAACGTAAATAATTACTAATCATAAATAAGTTTTTCTTAACTTACCACAATCAATGTCTTATCAGATGCAGTTATGGCACAAATTGGATCCCTTGTGCCCTGAAATAAATTTTTATTCGTTAGCAAATATTTACAGATTGTGCAATTCACTAAGGAGCGTACACCAACAAGACAGTTAACTTCACATCACTTAAATGAGCACTGACTGTGTGCCAGGCACGTGAACGAACTCAAAAGAAGCCCTGGGGATCACTCAGGGGCCTACTGGAAAAGACAGCAAGCTGAACAGCACAGTGTGCTCCGACAACAGAGACACACACAGGCGTTAAGAGAGCAGAGGGCGGCACATCCAGCTCACACAGAGATGAGCAGAAAAGCAAAAGCTCGAGCTTAGTCACGGAAGTGAGCAGGAAGCAGAGGTTCAGCAGAGCCAAAATGGCAGGTGCTGCAAACACCTGGTCAGATCTGAAAAGCATCTATTCATAAAAAAAAAAAAGTCAGCGTCAAAGGGTTACATACTATGTGATTCCATTCAAAAAACATGCACAAAGGTAACAAAACTATGGTGCTGGAGAACAGATCTGAGGTTGCCAGGGGAGAGGGCTCCCTAGGGAGTGGGTATGGAAATGAAGACACATGAGACAAATTTATTTATGGAAATAAAATTACATAAAACTAGACATACTCACTCACATGCAAAAACCAGCATACGGAATAGTATCATAACATCAAGTGCCCAAATTTGACATGATACATATATGACGTCACCAATGAGGGAGGAGGGGGGAAAGGCTCAACAGTTATACTTCTACTTCCTGTGAGTCTACAGTTATTTCAAAATAGTGTTTTTTTAATCAAAAGAAAAACATTAACAGATCTAGAAAAAGGTATGCAGGCCCAAAAAAAATTAAAAACATTACTAGAATAATATGCTATCCCCTGAAAACAAATTCTTTCAGTTCTCAAAATATAATTATGGTATTTCCAAATCTACAATTATTGACATTGCTGGCAAAATAAAATCACCTACTTGAATGGCTTTACTATAATCAAGCACTCC